ATAAATATATGCACATAGATCTACTTCCCCACCATCCTATATAAAAATATCTACATATGTACATGCCTATATTTAGACTTCTATAAATATAACCTTTGTCTCGTAGTTCTTTCTTCTATTTCCTTTTACTTTCCTCTTGTCCCACTATCATACTCAGCCTTCATTTGAGTTTCAGTAATTTCTCTCAGTTACATTGCCCTTGCTGAATCCCTACCAGGCCTCTCACACCTTCCTTGCCACTAATTTTGGATCACTTGTTGTTCCCTTGTCCCTGGGTTAGCTAACACCACCTCCTTACCCCCGCACCTCCCTCTCCCATGTCCCCCAGAACCATCGGTCCCATTGTTTTCTCCTCCAGACTGTTCATCCAGCCTATCATATCTAGATAGATCTGCAGAGATAATAATGCACCAAAAAACAAGGCATAGCAAGACAAAGCAACAAAAGAGAACACAACAATGACAACAACAAAAAGAAAACCAAGGACCCATAAAAGAATAAATTAATTAAAAAAAATTTTTTTTTAATTTAAAAAAGAAAGAAAAACCTGTAAATAGATCAAGGTCTGATTTTTGACCTCTGGGCGTGTCCTCCAGTCAAGTCCGAGGAGGTACCACGCTCTGGCCCCAGAGTCTGTCCTTTGCACTCCCTCTGGAGCTCCCTGCTCTGCTCCCCTCGTTGCTCTGTGTTCAGTGTTTTGCCTCGGTGTTGCAGGGTGCTATAAAACATTTATATACACATTTCTACATGGACATATTTTCATTTCTCTTGGGTACTGATTTATATATTCAATTAACATGGCCCTTCAAGATGTATTCTTTTATGTACATTATGTTCTCACTGGATTTCATATGCCTCTGGCTATAGTTCCACTTTAGAAGGGATTATCTAATAAACAGGAATAGGACAGAATTAAGATATGATCTTAGTAGAGGGTGTGAATCGGACTCTCTCTGTTCGCTGGTTAGCTCAGCTTCTGCGACTTGTAATGGATGTAGGAAATGATAGCCCACAGCTGACAGAGAAAAGTTGCTTTTGAAGTGGCTGGGAAAATCCCTAACTGATTCAGATCAGCAGTGGCCAATACCTACTGGAGACATCCTGCCAGAGGCCCCAGGTCACATGTGCATAAATAAGATTCAGCCCAGAGGTGGAGAATAGATTTGGGTGAAATTTGATTGAACCATGTAACTCCTATCAAACGACCTTTCCTGCATGGGTCGGATAGGAAGCCGAGGGAAGATATTGACGGATTCATCTGTGAGTATTTGTAAACAGGATTCCCTGCAACGCTATCCTCCAAAAAGCAAAACGAATTCTCTGCCTGCGAGTTGATTCTGACACAAGACAGGGTAGCGCTGCCCCTATGAGTTTCCAAACCGTAATTCTTTATGGGGGTCTAAGGCCTGGTCTTCACTCCTGAGGAAAGGCTGGTGCTTTTGAACTGCTGACCTTGAGGATCACAGCCCAACAGGGTTCCAAGACCATCCTGCTGCATGTAGAACAAGCTGTCTGAGAAGCACTGGGTGTATTCTCATCACTGGTAAGGTCAGGATTGGAGTGCATCCTCTGGCCCAGCATTTGGCTGACCCCTGGCCTGACCTTAGACTTGGACCGAACAGCACTCAACAGGAGACATTTCCTCAAATGTTTGCTAGTTCTATGGAACACTGCTGAGATTATTTGCAGAACCCAGAGACGCCAGGGAATATATTTATGGGGGGCGAGTTTGGGGTGGGGAAGGAATGGAGCACTCTAGGATCTTGAAAGAATTGCACTTTGGGGATTTCTTCAATCTCCATCTCCTTGAGACCAGTTTGGTATTAATTCTTACATAAGAAATTAGTCTCGGGACATTTATAGAGGCAGTTCTACCCTGTCCTTTAAGGTGGCCAGAAGTCAGAAAGGACTCCTTGCCAGTAAGTTTATTTTGATTCATTTTAAGTCATTTAGGTCCCTTCTCTACAACAGACCAAAAGGTGTAAAAAAACAAAAAATAAATGGAAAAACACAAGATCATTTAGCACTGAAATGTTCTCACCAAAACCCTACTGCTTCGGCTCTGGAGGATGTAGCTAAACAACCTTACAGACATAACAGTACTTGGAAGTGGAAGAGAATGCCCCTTTAAAAGGAAAATCAATACAGGAAGAGCTTTCCTTTACACAGGACCCAAATCCCTAGAAATCCAGAATAAAAGGATTTTGCATGCATTCACTGAATGAGCCATCAGTTGCGTGCCTACCACAGGCCAGACACTATTCCACCTGTTTGGTGTGTGGTCTAACAAGATTCTTTTTTGCATGAGGCTGGCTGCAGCAGGTGGGGGAGGGGAGTATGGAGGATGGAAGGGGTTGGTCAGAAACAAACCAAATGAGCCATGGGGCACTGCAAATGTGATTTAAGGAGATACCTGATTCCTAGCAAGTGCAGGAAAATAAGGGAAACTAGGATAAGAGGAAGACAGACTTTTGACCTTTGAAAGGATATTTAATCCTTCAGATCAGTGGTTCTCAACCTTCCTAATGCCGTGACCCTTTAATATAGTTCCTCATGTTGTGGTGACCCCCCCCAACCATAAAATGATTTTTGTTGCTACTTCATAACTATCATTTTGCTGCTGTTATGGACTGGATGGGCCCTGTGAAAGGGCCATTCGACCCCCAAAGGAGTCGTGACCGACAGGTTGAGAACCACTGCTCTAAGTCAACATGAGTGAGAAAGGGAAACAAGTCCCTATTTGTTGCCAAATTCTGTAGTAAATCTAGCAATAAATCCCTGATCCTTTAACTAAAATACTTTTAAAAAAACCACTTGAGCCGTGGCTGAGATGAATGCTTTTATTTTCAAAACCAGCATTTATTTTCTAAAAGCCAGTGAAGCTGACAGCACTAAGACAGCCAGGATCAACCACTGAGATGGAGCAAGCCTCTGCTTGCTCAAGCAGAACTGTGACGCGTCAAAGTAAAAAATAATCAAGTCTCATGCCCAAGGACAGCGCTCCCCACTGAAAATCAGAAAAAAGAGTAAAAAAGGCACCTTCCCTGTCTCTTCTGCTGCCTTCACTTGGTCAGGTAGCATGTCTGTCTCTCAGGCCTAAAATCCATCCTTGGCCTCGGCAGCAGGAGGCAGCAGAGATCTGGGGGCTGCCACCTGCTGCCCACAGCTGTCACGAAAGCTGAGCTCATCAAACACAGATGGGTCAGGGCCAGGGCTGTCCACTCAGAGGAGCCAGATCACACATTTCAGGAGCAGATGCCAGCTCCATGGGAAATAAGACTTGAATTTCAGCAGCAGTGCAGGAGTGAAGGCACTGTCCCGGGCTGGTGCCAGCAGTTAATGGTGCTCAGCTGCTAATTGGAAGGCTGCAAGTCAAGAGGACCCATATGCACCTTGGAAGAAAGGCCTGACAATTACTTCTGAAAAAGGGGTCATTAACCCCATGGTACAGAAGTCTACTCTGACCTATTGGAGGTTGAGGACATCATGAGTCAGCACTGATTCAACAATAGCTGATTCTATAGCTGTGGGTACACACCTTCTCTTCCCTGAAACTTGAATTCATCCCTTAAATAAAGGGCTTAGTGGTCAAAATTATCTCTGTGGTTTCTTTCAATAGATCGATGACCCATAAACAGCATCACCTCTTAACAATGGAAACAACCTAACCCTGGCTCCTGTCAGCACAGTGTGCTGTAAATGGGTCGTACAATCATGCAGGTGGGAGAGGATGCTAGATTTCTCTGGAAGACTATTTCCTGAACCCTGCTCACCGCCGAGGTCCACAGGAGGAAGGAGCCGCTCTCTGAACTATGTCTTCACACTGGTACAACGTGTGGGTCCTGAACAAAGCACAGAGTTGAGGTTTTGCTTGGCTCTTAGTTTGTGGATAGCACCTCGCTAATCAAGTGCCTGGGAGAGCCAAGGCTGTTGGCAGATGGGCTGGCAGCAGAGAGGAGGCTGGCCCTCACAGGAGTCCTTAATTTAGATATTAATTACTGGTGGGCGGGGAGGAAAACACCAGAGGGCTCTGCTCAAACCGAGGTAGATGCGTTTCCTACTGGAGTTCTCTTCCGACTCCAACAGCCATGAGGGGAACCGTAGGCTGCTTCTAAAGCCAGAACCGTAAAGGGGAATGGAGGCTGGGAACACTGGCTAGAAAGGAAAACTTTCCAGCTCCAACTAAACATTTCAGTGGGCGGGCCTTTATCCTCCAGCCCCAGCCCTCCACTCTTCCCTGTGAGGATTAAGGAGCACGCCCTGCATTCGTCCTGAATGCACTCCAGGGGTGAGAGAAAGGGAGAAGCTGCTGGCCCTGGCATTTTGAGGAAGCTGAGTAAAATAACGAGGGGGAGTTGGTTCAATGGGAGCCATTTCACCTCATTTTGGAGCTGAGGCCCCAACTAAGCACAGACTTGCACATGCTGGCAAGATGAGCAATTCAATAATGTAACCATGTTTACCTGTCCCTTATTCTGGTCTTAGTACTGAACAATGCTGGCTGGATTACAATGAATCACTGAAAATCAGCATCACTGAGAAAATCAAAATGATAAATGAAGACTAAGTGTGGCACAAAATCCACCCCTGCTAACAGGGTCTCCCCTACACACCATCTCTCCCAGGGCCCTGCACGGAGGGCTGCATTTGGAGCAGTGGCAACCTTCAGATCCAATGCTGTTCAGAGAACAGGACTACCAGCTCTACTAGTAAATGACAAGAAAACCACTTACCGCATACATAGATAGGCACCAATGTACACTTTTTGCAGACTTGCTAAAAACAAAACTCAAGTGCCCTCGAGTCACTGCTGACTCATAGTGACTGACCCCTGGGGGTTTCCGAGACTGTAACTAGGAGAGTAGAAATCCCAGTCTTTCTCTTGATGAGCTGCTGGGATTTCAAACTGCCGACCATGTGGATTGCAGCCCAACATGTAACCACTATTCCACTAGGGCTCTTCTGTAGGCTTGCTAAAATTTAATGTGCTCTCAAACCCACAAGACCCTACCTGGCAGGCCTTTTTCTGACCTAGCGCAAAGGTGCAACAGCTAAATGAACACAAGACCAGTCCAAGGCCAAGGGGGTGATGACTGTATACAGGAAACCCAGTGAGAATGACGGATTCAGTTATCACTTTTGGAGAATAAACAAGTGTAACTTTATCTACGAGCTGTTCCAGTCACAGGAAGATTGTTCTATGCAGAACAAGCAGAGCACACATCTTTTTTTATACAAGCAAAGAATAAAAATTATTTCAGACTGCACATACATCCAGTTTAAAGGAAAAAAAAAAAAAGGAAGTAAGAAACACACGTAAACTAAGCCCCTGGTAAATCCTCTCTACCTATGGGCCATGGATGTGCGCAGCCTTGCTATCACGCAGAATGCTCAGAAAGAAAACTGGTACAGAGGCAGTTGGCTTAAAATTTAGCACCCTCTAGTCTGATTGAAACTTGTTCTAGTTTTTAATGTTTTCTGCATGCTCAGCTGAAGTTTTCATCTGGTTTAAGCGTGTTATTGTTATTAGTTATTTTTCTAAATGTTTGTCTGTATATGAAATGCAGGATCCAGAGTGACCCTAACTGGGCGGATGGTTCCTTGGAGCTATGGCAGGAGAGGCTGTGGGGAAATGGGCAGTGAATAACAATAAGTGCAACAATGAAGAAAAGTTCTAAAACTGATGTGGTGACATGTATACATATGAATTGTATGATGATTTATATGAGGGACCACCCCTCCCCCAAAACAAAACAAAACCAATGCTCATTTGTTTTTAATGATATGATCGTTAATAATCAGACTTTTAATTAAGCTTTCTATTTAAAGCAGTGGTTCTCAACCTGTGGGTCACAACCCCTTTGGGAGTCAAATGACCCTTTCACAGGGTCACCTGATTCAAACAGTAGCAAAATTACAGTTATGAAGTAGCAATGAAAATAATTTTACGGTTGGGGGATCACCACAACATGAGGAACTGCATTAAAGGGTCACGGCATTAGGAAGGTTGAGAACCACTGATTTAGACGTTCTGAAAAGATTGTGTAACAGTGTGTGACAAAAAAAAAAAGACCTGATTTGGGGCAATGCAGATGGGGGATTGTTTTTGCCACAACAACACACCTGCTCATGCAGCCATCTCAGTGCTCCTGTTTTTGGCAAAAAACAGCAAGCCTCTCTTGCCCCACACACCTGACTCACCTGACCTTGTCCCGTACAACCTCTTCTTGTTTCCTCGAATGCAAAGGGACATGAAAGGGCAGTGATTTGATGGCGTAGAAGAGGTGAAGAAAAAAACAAGGGAGGTGGCTGTCAGCCATCCAAATAGATGAGTTTGAAAAATGTTTCCAAGAATGGAATTGCAGATTTGACAAATGTATTATGTGTAACAGAGTACTTTGAAGGTAATAGGATTGTTTTGTAAAAAAAATTTAAGTACATAGCTTGGGGAGGGGGGGGTGTCTGTTTTTTTGAGGGATACTCCCTGATATACCAATAAAACCACTTTTACCTTCAACTCTGCAGCTGGGGTAGTGATGGGGTTCCAAACCTAGACCATGCTTTCAGCAAACCTAGCAACCTCCCTGATAAGGCAACTGCTCTATAGAAACATCCAGTCATTAATTGATTACATCAGAACAGGTAATTCTAAACAAGTCACACCTGCAACTTTCCTGATGTAAGCTTTGGCCAAAACATGGAATACAAAAGGGTCCATACCAGGCAGAGAACCGAATCTGAGACACCGTTTAAATCAATGGCACTCTTTCCCATATGCACATGACAATAATTTGCTGGAGTATCACTCTGAGCCAGACCCTGGCTGAGGGTTTTCTTTCATTGAGAGAACTAAACAAAATAAAAACTTAATACAATTCTCCCTATCTAACCTGAACATTTCTTAAGTTACCTTTGATTACCCTTCCATCCAATGACAGAAACCATAAACAAACCATATATCATCTACTTCTTTTGAATTCTTTCTTAAGGAGCTAAGGAGTGTATTTTGCAGGATCAATAGTGGCCAAATAAATTCTGATTGTACCAAATCACTGCCCTTTAAATAGATCAAAAAAAGAAAGGCATACCTGACATTTACATTGCACATCTTTACAGCACAGAATGGCATTACTATATTGAGTTAATGTAATGAGATGAAAGGGGCACACAGTAATCAACACCCAAAGAATTCATGTGGAGGGACAGCCCTCGCTGCAGGGCAGTGCCTTTCATAAGGCTCACCTGACGAATGATACTCTTCACACAACGCACTGGGAGGCCTTGGTAGTTGGACTTGATGATCCACTTGAGGAGATGATGGCCAAGTACTTCGAAGACCATGCAGACATCTTGTACAGGGTTAAGGATCAAACCCACTTACACAAAAGATACACCTGGGGCTTCAAGAAGTTCGTGGAAATTTTTAATAATCTTTTAATTCCATCTTTTCATAAAGTTTTAAAAGTAGCCCAACACCCACCCATACTGCACCACATAAATATATATTCTTTATAAAACACAGCATCAATGGTATCAAGAATACCAAGTGAAAAAAAAAAAAAAGAAGAATACTAAGTGGGCACTCAATTTATCACATCTAAATAAAACATTTACTAAGTGCTTCCTGTAGATCCTGTTTTTAATGTGTACTCCTAGTAAACTTAGAAGGCAGTATAATTACCCCCAGTGCAGAAAGGTGGAGAGGTGAAGTGGACAAGTTTAAGAACACGTCTGTTACATCGTCCAAAGGTAGCAGAGCCATGACAAAATCCCACCCCTCGCTGTGCTCTCACCTGTTCAGCACACAGCCTTTTCGTAATTAATCCATCGTAATGGAAATGAGGAAGACTGAAACCTCACACAACTCCAGCACTACTGTATTGAATTTGGTTTTGGTAGGTCACTTAAAATATAAAGTTATAAGGCAGTTTTAAAGAATATAACATTACAATTTAAACAGAAGGCATTACGATCAGTCTGTAATAATGAAAGCTTAAGGATCTGAATTTTTTTAAATAGACATTTGAGTCAACCATTTGAACGTATGACCACTAAAGTTTATCACACAGACACATGCGTGTTACTCATATGAGAAGATTCAAAATGGCTCTGCATGTTACTCATGTGGGAAGACTATAAATGGCTCTGAAACGCTTGGAGAGTATTTATTCATCCCAGGGAGCATAGAGATTGCGTTCGCCTCAAAAAGGCCCATTTAATTTTTGTTACAATAAATGATCTAGTAGATAAAATGGCCATTGCTTTCCTAAACCCAAAACAACAAAAATGTTTTTATAGTGTGGAGCAACGTATACACCATAGATCTATGTATACATATTCTAAAAATTTCTTTCAAAAACACAAGTCTTCTCAAAACATTTGATACTTCCTTAGCGTTTTATTTAACAGTAAATACAGCCCCTAGCATGTATGTGAGGGGATTAAAAAATGATTGGAAAAGTCAATTATATTTAATTTTCATTTTCTAAATTTTTTGCGGCCCCCCCACTTCATGTTAAAAACAAATCAAAACTTTCCACTATACTACAAATCAGGTGATTTCTATTTTAAAGGGGAAAAAAAGTCCTTGGGAGCTATCCTTGCAGATCTGAGGCAGTCCTGCTCAAACACTGTTTGGAGAAGCAGGGGCAGAGGAAGGCCAGCTGTCTTCCAGTGACCTATCGGGAGAAAAGGCACTCAGCACTTGGCAGAAATGACTTCGTGGCAAAGGCTGACATGATCTCAGCAATCTCTGGCACTTCGTAGTATCTTCCAGTCTAATCTCTACAGAAATATTAAAACCCTCACAACCATATCGCGTGTGGGAGGAATGCCTTTCTCAGGAATCACGGTGTAGCAGATGAATGAATTGTAAATCACTCTCAGGATGAAGCTAGAGAAGACCTTGTCCTTTAGATTCTTGAGAAGGTCAAATATCAAAATGTCGGCTCTGGTATACACGTGACCTAGAAGCGCAAAAGACCAAGAAGAAGCCAGAAGACCCTGGCTCCTGACAATCCCCTACTCCCTTGGCAGTCACTAATCACACGGCTCTAAATAAACAGTCCAATTATCCAGGGATAAAATTCAGAAGAGGTAGGAAGGAAGGAGGTATAGACTTGGTATGAATGACTGCAAACAATGACATGAAATAAAATGTGTATGAATTGTTAAATGAAAAATGAATATGCTCTGTAAACCTTCCTCCAACACACACGCACGCAGTCCAATATTCTAGAACCATGGAAAATGAAGGTATATGCACATAAAGTATTATTTCAGAGAAAACTGAAAATATGGAAAGACTTACAATCTAAAGGAATGCTCTCTGCACTCTACAGGTGCAGGTTTGTCAACTTTGTTTTGAGTGCGAATCCTGAGTTCTTTTGCTCTCTGTCACATCCCTTCTAGAGTTCTCCTTTAACAATGTTAACAATGCCCTAGGCAGAAGAATTAAACAGTCTTTTCAGAAGAACAAAAACCAACCAATAACCTCTTCCTCAGCTCCCCAAACAAACAGGCACCTGAACCATTTAAAAGTGTCCTAGTCAGCAAGGACATTCTCAAACTAGAAGGGAAAGCATGAGAAGCTCAGGCTCTAACTCCCAGGTCGATTCACCTCTTCTCTATCCCCATATGTGTCAGAGCTAAACTGCCCCTTAGTATTTCCATGGCTGTAATTCTTTTTTTTTATTTTTTTAAATCATTTTATCAGGAGCTCTTACAGCTCTTTTAACAATCCATACATCAATTATATCAAGCACAGTTGTACGTATGTTACCATCATCATTTTCAAAATATTTTCTTTCTACTTGAGCCCTTGGTATCAGCTCTTTTTTCCCATCCCTCCTCTACCCACCCACCCATGTGACCCCCGATAAATTATTATTATTTTCATATCTTACACCGTCCGCTGTCTCCCTTCACCCATGTTTCTGGTATTGGTCGCCCTGGGTGGGGGGATTATACATCAATCATTGCTATGGTTTATTCCTTTCTCTCCCTGCCTCCCTCTATCCCCTGGTACCACTCACTACTCCCATTACTGTCCTGGATTCCATGTGTTGAGAGCTCTTATTTGTTCCAGTATACATGCTCTGGTCTAGCGGGATTTGTAAGGTAGAACTGGAGTCATGATAGTGGGGGGTTGTGGGGGTGGTGGAAACATTAAAGAACTAGAGAAAAGTTGTATGTTTCGTCAGTGCTATACTGGACCCTGGCTGGCTGGTCCCTTCCTTGTGACCCTTCTGTGAGGAGATGTTCAATTGTCTACAGATGGGCTCTGGGTTCCCACTCCAACCCCTCTTGTTTGCCTTGATATAATTGTTTGTTTGGGATCTTCTGATACCTGATCCCATCGACACGTCATTATCACAGGATGGTATGCTTCCTCCATGTAGGATTTGTTGCTTTCTTGCTAGAGGGCCGCTTGTTTGAACGTCAAGCCTTTAAGACCTCAGATGCTATATCTTTTAATAGCTGGGCACCATCAGCTTTCTTCACATAAGGCTGTGATTCTTTATAGACGCACACTGCCACCTTGTTCCCCTGTGGAGCAGCCAATGAACTCAAACAGCCCACCGGTGGCTCTTTTGGTTTCCTAACCCACCCCGCCACCAGTGCTCCTGGTCTCTTCCAGCATACCTAGAATTAGGCCTCAGTATCTTTAGAAAGCAAGAGGTACACCCAACCTAACCGCTGACCAGGACGTTCTTTCATCCTTCAACAATCACTGACTGCCATCAGAGTAGTTTATTTTTGAGAAAGCAAATTATAATGGGAAAAAATTAAGTCAACCATTTAATCTTGAATGAAATAACTACAGTAAGTTTACAATAGTCTTAGGGGGAGGGGCAGAGTACTGTGGATTACGACAGACTGAGAAAACAATATTTGTTGAACTGGGTTTCAGATGAGTTTTTTGAAAGTGAATTTTTAGATAATCAGGGAACGGACAAAATATGTGACATCAAGGCACTATTGTTAATTTTATCCTATGAATAAATCATGTGCTGAATCTGAGTGATGGGTTTATAGAAATTCACTATACTATACTCTATTTTAGGAAAGTCTGAAAATTTGCATAAAACATTTTAAAGTAAGAAAAACAAAGGCCATCTCTCTGTTCCAACAAGCACTGGCTTCTGTCTGATTTATCAGCTAGCTCAGAAAAGCAGACCATTTTGCTTTTCAGCAGGCCTTTCCAAAGTAGACAAAGTGGGAGTCAAATAAATAAAAGCAAAATATTTCCATATTCACCTGGCAGAGAGATTATCTTCTGTGGGAACAAGGATTTGAAAGCCTAGGTTGTACCATTCTGGAAGCCAACTGATGACACTATTCAGTTCTGAAGGTGCTCCAATGCCACGTTCCACAGAGACTGCAGCAGAGCGCTCTTTTGTCACAGCCCCCAAACATGGGTTCAGCTCCCACGGGGATCAGACACAGCCTTTACAAATGATTTACAGACGCCTGAGTACACAGAATTCCTGTTGCATGTTTCCGTCTTACTGAAGCAATAATAAAACTTCATAAAAAATAAACTGCTCCACAGGTAATTGGGGGAAGAAATTAATCTCATTCCACAAATGAAGTTTAAGTTATTATTTACAATAAAATTTTAATGACTATGACACCAAAGAGTCCTTAAGCAATATAGTTTTACAGCATTTTGCAATGATAATATACACCTATGTGAAGGGTGACACAACAGAAGCAATGGGAAGGTTTTTTGGGGATCAGAATTATTTCCCCCTTTTTAGGCAGTACGAAGAGAAAAGCACCATAATCAATGCACCCGTATGTCAGAGATCCGCCAGGAAAGGATACGTATCCCATTCATGCCTGAGATCTTGAAGTCATCGATCAGCTGCACCACCATGTCCTTCTTTGGGTCGCTGGGGTCACTTTCTCGAACCTGGGCAGAGAGGAAAGGGAATGCAAGAACAGCCGAGCTGAAGGGTGAAAAGAGTGTCTTCTATTACTTCTACCAAATTGTTTTATTAAGGGATGTTATTAAAAACAAGAGATTCAATTTTTAAATGTGAGAAATATTCAATTTTCTTATTTCCCAGAAAAAATTTTTTTGTGAAAATGTACAGTCATTTTGTTATACTCACACATTTGAGCAATTTTATCTCATCCAAGGCTGTTTCCGTATAATGTTGGGCACTTTTTACAACTTTCATTGCAACAAATCTTTTCCCCCTTAAAAAAAAAAAACACGTTATTTTTAGTGTTACAAACATTAAGCCTACATTATTATAACATTAGATGATTAACATTATAGATTATAACCACATCTAGTCAATGTTAGAAAGTTACAGAGTATTAGTCTATATAAGTATTATACGAATAATGTAACTCATATAGTACTTTTTAAACCATGGGGCCACAATTAACAAGTGGGTC